TCTTGAATGTGTCTCTAAGTGAATGATTACACTTTCTGATTCTCCTGAATCAATCCTTTTATGCTCATCATCATATTGAGTCTCCATTAACACCTAAAAGAACAATCAAAAAAGACATTTCTAAGGGTTTATCGAACAAATCGAAACGGATATACATTAAAAGACGTACCTTTAAAACGATTTGATGCAGAACAATAGATTAAGCTTAAATCAGTGTGGAGGAAGAATGTTGTTTCTCACTTGAATAAGTTGTGAAATTTCTTGTTAGAGAAATCAAAGGGGCAACAAAAAGGATTAAGATTGAGATTAGAGGAAAAGGGGATCTAGGGTTTGTTGATGTTGTTGTCTGGAGATAACAGAACGAAAGGTATCTCGTAAAGTTCGGACCTTTATAACTAACAACCATGGCTGCGTTTCCCGCCATGTCGTCGTCTTCTCTTCTTTATCTGTTTTGTAGTGATTTTATGTGGTACGGTCTATTGTAGATATCGTGTTCCATCCAATGGAAAGACGCATTCATTTTGATCACGTGGCTAGCTTGAGATACGTTTTGCGTATTTTACTGTGTAAAACCAAAAAAAAAAAAGCCATTGTTTTTCTTTTTTGCTTCTGCTTTGGGAAACTGAAAAGTCGAAAGGTGAAGTTTTTTTTTTCAAATCTAGGGTTTTTTTATGTTGGGTTCTTTGCTTTGTGAGGTTATGTTTTTGGAATTGATAATTTAAGACCTAATTGATCGCTGTCGATTTGTGTTAGATAGTTAAAACGGATCGAATTCTTGGTATTATTAAGATACTGGAATTGAGAAATTCTATCGAATTGGATCTTCCTTTACTGTAAATTCTGTAGCTTTTCTTCATTTTATCTTATTCGAGGTAGATTGATTAGAGATTCTTGATTATCGGTGCAGTTTCTGGTCGAAAATTTCACTACCATGTAGAAAAAGTTTGTATTTTGATTTGTGGTTTAGCATAATCTTTCGTTAGCCAAAATTGAATCTGAATTTCATGTCAAAATTGTTGTTTTCAGGTTGGAAATTGTTGCCAAAGGCTTTTACTTAGACTGCTTTTGTTTCACTGGAAACTGTTCATCAGAATGCATCAGTAATTTGTAAGCAAGAGAGGATAGAGAAGTACAATGGGAGAACAACAGGATCCGTTTTCCACTTTGAATCTTCCGGATTTCGTATCTTCCCAAAAGATTGGTAGACCAGTAAATGAAGGACAGGGTAACCGCGGGCATCCTTTTTCTGGACTTAAGAAGAGAGGTCAATCTAGTCGTTCGTGGGTGAAAATTGACGAAAATGGGAACTCGACGGTTTTGGAGCTCGACAAAGCAAGTATAATGAAGCGTTGTTCGTTACCATCCAGGGATTTGAGACTTCTTGATCCTTTGTTTATTTACCCTTCGAGTATTTTGGGACGTGAGAGAGCGATAGTGGTCAGCCTTGAGAAGATCAGATGTATAATCACAGCCGAAGAGGTTATTCTCATGAATGGTCGGGATGCGTCTGTTGTTCAGTATCAGTCTGAATTGTGTAAACGCCTCCAATCAAAACAAAACCTAAATCTCATTGGTTAGTTGATTTTGATATCGCTTTGGTGGCCTTGAATTATTATACTGATTATATTTGCTTACAAAACTTGTTATATGTGTTGATTTCAGATGATTTGCCATTTGAATTCAAAGCGTTGGAGCTGGTTCTGGAATTATCTTGCTTGTCTTTAGATGCACAGGTATGCCACAATGTCGTCTCTAATATTTTAGTTTTGGGATCCATCTATTAGATCATACTGTAAATAGTTTGGTGGACTTGATTTTTAATAGGTGAATGAGCTTGAGATGGAGGTGTATCCTGTTCTTGATGAGTTAGCCTCAAACATTAGCACTCTTAATCTAGAACACGTTCGTAGGTTAAAAGGCCGTCTGCTAACCTTAACGCAGAAAGTTCAGAAGGTAAACCACAAATAACTCTTCAAATTTGGAAAAATTGGTACGATACATTTTGATTTTTGGGGAGGGTCGAACCTTGCAGGTTTGTGATGAAATAGAACATTTAATGGATGATGATGATGACATGGCTGAGATGTACTTGACTGAGAAAAAAGAAAGAGCTGAGGCTCATGCTTCTCCAGGGAATCTAGAAGATATCCTCGATGACGAGTTTGGATCTTCTGGAATAGTTTCGAAATCTGCTCCGGTTTCACCTGTTGGTTCAACAAGTGGAACTTTTGGGAAGCTTCAAAGAGCCTTTAGCAGCGTCGTTGGCTCACACAAAAGCTTGTTAAGCTCCTCTAGCAGCGGAGAGAACATCGATCAACTAGAGATGTTACTAGAAGCCTACTTTATCGTTGTCGATAACACTCTCAGCAAATTATCATCGGTTAGATACTCAATCTGTTACAGTTAAATGGTTTTTCGTCAATCGAATTCAATTTTTTTTTTTTGATTTATGACCTTGTGTTTGCAGCTGAAGGAGTATATAGATGATACAGAGGATCTAATCAACATTAAGCTGGTAAAGACGGAAAAAAATCAAGTCTTTTTGTTATCTTGTTCTTGTTTCATCCCAAGATTCTCTGACTTTGTTCATGTTTTTTCTTAGGGGAATGTACAGAATCAGTTGATTCAGTTTCAACTGCTTCTCACCGCGGCAACCTTCGTGGCAGCCATATTTGCAGCTGTAACCGCAGTTTTCGGGATGAATCTGCAAGACTCGGTTTTCAAGAATCCGGCAATGTTCCAATGGGTTTTGCTTGTAGCAGGTATCGGATGCGGGTTTTTGTATTTTGGTTTTGTGTTATACTTCAAACACAAGAAAGTATTCCCTCTCTGAAACTACCTGATTGAGTTACTTCTTGTAAAGATGAACAACTAATGGTACGGTTCTTAACATCATCATGCTCTCTTGTTTATCCAGAGTCCTTCTAATTGACAGTATAAAAAAGTAACAAAAAAAGAATTGTCTTTGCGGATTGTTGCAAAGTTTTTGTAAGTACTCTTAGGGAGTGTACGATACAAATCATAAATAAGCATTTTGCACTTAATGTGAGGCCTAACCAAATTCAACCTTAAAAGCTTAGGGAGTGCCCATGTACATAGGCGCCTGATGAACCAGGCATGAGAGTGACTGCCTCCACACATTATACTTGCTTTGCGTTGTTCGTTACACTTAACCCATTTCTAATTTAAATATAATCATGTTTCGATCAAACAAACAAAAACCATATATTCCATGTCGAAACATATACGTCAAAAATAAATCTACTTACAATGTGAAATTTGCATTAGCAAAGAGGTCTAGCAAAAATCCTAAATCCACAATAAATAAAATACTATCACTTAGTTGAAAATTAAATTTTCGTCATAAAATTCATATTGAATCAAAAATATTACACGATAAAGCTAAAGCTAATTGGACAACATGCGACCCTTTTTGATAAGCCAACCAAAGCAAATCCAGTCGTAATGAGAACATCAGAAGAAGTGTTAGGGGTTTTGTTAAATAGCCACCTATGGATTCAATTTACCATTCTAAGCGTCTTCTCCATTCTCTTGATAGATTCTCAATACTTCTCTTGTAACCGATCTCATATGATGCTATTCTATTACGTTTTATCTCCAACATCCATTGTTACTTCCTTAGCCTTCTTCCATATCTATTCTCTTTGGCCTGTAACATTTCATTTTTGACAATGCATAGATAACATTTTTATTTAAACGAAAGTTATGAGTCTAACTACCGCCTC